ATTGGGTCGTCATGTCATTCCTGATGGGAATCTAGCATGACCTCACAGCATGGCATGCAGATGCCCGACAGGGTGTTTCATAGCAAGCTAACAATTAAATGCGCTGTCTCATTTTTTTTTTACAAATCAGTGGATGAGAAATTTGGACAGTGGGCAAAAAGGACATCAATTTTTTGGCATGAGTTACTGACCATACAATGAGGCATATTGCTTGGGAAAGTGCTTCGTGGTGTAGCGTGTTTCTCGGGAAGACTTCCGATGTTGCATTGTTCCTGGGGAAAACTTGCAGCGTTGCAGTGTGTTCTTAGGAAAGACTTGCGGTGGTGCACCATGTTCCTCGGGAAAACCTTCAGCGTTGCAATGTGTTCCTCGGTAAAACGTGCGGTGTTGCAGTTTGTTCCTCGGGGAAAAAAACTTTCGTTGTTGCAGTGTGTTCCTCGGGAAAACTTTCAGTGTCACATTGCGCTCCTCCAGAAAACTTTCGGGGTTGCAGTTTTTTCCTCGGAAAAGAACTTTTGGTAGTGCAGTGTGCTCCTCAGAAAAACTTTCGGTGCTGCAGTGTGATCCTGCGGAAAACTTGCGGTGTTGCATTGTGTTCCTAGGAAAACTTGCGGTGTTGCAGCATGTTCCTTGGGAAAAGATTCGGCGTTGCAGTGTGTTCCTCGGAAAAACGTTCGGTGTTGTAGTTTGTTCCTCTGAAAAACTTTCGTTGTTGCAGTGTGTTCCATGGAACACTTTCGGTGTCGCAGTGTGCTCCTCCGGAAAACTTTCGGTGTTGCAATTTTTTCTTCGGAAAACAACTTTCGGTGTTGCAGTGTGTTTGTCAGAAAAAACTTGTGATGCAGTGTGTTCCTGGGGAAATCTTTCGGTGTTGCAGTGTGTTCTTTGGAAAAACTTTTGGCGTTGCAATTTGTGCCTCGGAAGAAACGTTCGGTGTTGCAGCGTGTTCCTCGGGAAAACTTCCTGTGTTGCAGTGTGTTCATCCGGAGAACTTTCGGTGTTGCAGTTTTTCTCGGAACAACTTGATATTGCAGGCTGTTCCCCGGAAAAAAACGTGCGGTGTTACATTGTATTCCCCGGGAAAACTCTCAGGGTGATGGTGCATTCGTGGTTTTCCTCGATTTTTTTGTCCTACGAAAAAATTCCAGTACGAATTCATTAAATGCGGAGGTCATTTAAGGGGAGGGGCGTGGGCGAGGCCGTCTTGCTGACCGTGCAGAGAGGCTGAGCGCGTGTTTACGGTCCCGGTGCGGGTCCGTCTGCAGGGAACCAGGGAGAGGGAGGGCTGCCCCGGTGCTCCCCGCTCGGGTGACGGGGAGGCCGTCCGGCTGGGCCCTGAAGGGTCTGTTCCTACGCTGGACCGGGGGAGCCAGATGTCGACGACCCCGGCTCCGACGCGGCTCCGGGTCGCGCGCGGCGAGAGCCGCTGGTCGACCATGATCCCTGGAGAGGCGTCAGTTGGGCTTGAAGGTCGAGGGGCCTGGCCTGAGGTGCCGGGGGCCTGGCCTCGGGGCCGGGGGCCTGGCCTCGGGGCCGGGGACCGAACCTCAGGGGCCGGGAACCAGGCTTGACGGGCCGGGGTGCGGGCCATGGGGTCCTTGGGCCACACTGGGGCGCCCGTTGGAGCCGCATGATGCCTTCCGTGCGCTGGGTAGCCGTCGGGATTGACTGAACCCCCGCTCTCCTCGCCGCCCCGGAAAGGGGCGCGGGTCGGGCATACGCCTCCTCCGGCGTGGGCCAGGCCCCACGCGCGGGGAGCACTCCGTCTTTGCCTTTCCATTTGCTTGGCCCTCAGCTCAAGCCACGCCGGTCACGCGCGTCGGTCCCACGCCGGGTGGGGACCGCTGCATGTGGCGCAGCGCGGCTCCCGGGCCTCACATTCTCTCATCAAGTGTCGACCTGCACATACCCCGCACTTCGGGTGGCGGGGTATGTGCCCTTCCCCTACCCCATACCCCTCGGGTGGCGGGCGCGGCAGGTGCGCGCGCTGTGGCCGAAGGCCTGGCAGTGCGCGCAATTCTTCGGGGTGGGCACCCAAGGGCGCAGGGGCATTCGCATATGCCCGCACAGCAGGTAGTACGGCAGGACCGTGCCCCGAAAACGCACTCGTAGCATGGGGTTAGACCCGAGTTCCGGGCGGCGCAACGGCAGGCGCGAAACCTCCGTTGCGCCTTTCGCTGAACACTCGCCGAGGATGTGCTCTTCGGACATTTCGGTGAGAGCCGGGGTGTTCTCGACCGCCTGAACAGTGTTTAGGCGGTCGGTCATCAAATTCGGCGGCGTTGTCCGATCACAGGAGACGGCGCTGGTGGTCCGAAGAGGTCTTTTCCACCGTTGCTGGTACGCTTGCTGGTGACGTGATAACCAAGCAATGCGGGCGTGTCATGGGCTTAACAACATGGGATCGGAGCGGAACGCTTTTCAAACTTGTTGTCTTCAACTTTTCATGGTTGCGGTGCCGGGACGCGAGGTGGTGGCTGTGGTGGCCATGGCTACAACATATCCATGTCAGTCTTGTCATGCTATGTCATGCCATGTCATGTCATGTCATGTCATGTCTTGTCAGTATTGTCGTAGAGCCCGTGACGATGAGCAACAGCAGCAGCAACATCAACACTGGGGCCCTACGCTACAATGGCACACCACCGACAAAAACATGCAGCAACAAGCCACATTGACACTGCTCGGCAACGACAGCGCGCTGGTCGCCTTTTCAGCATTTTCCTGAGCTGGCTTGGCATGGCCAACCGGTGCTCCACCACCGACCTCAGCGGGAGCTCGCAAAAGAGGATTACGTAATTTAGCCCTACGCTTTTCCAGGTCTTCGTTTGCAATGATATTACGGCATGACTCTTCTGCACTGCAAATGTTGGGGGACGACTCATCGTGGAGTGGGTTCGCCTGGGGCGCCGTTTTGACCGAGATGATGGTGCCACGCCGTCGCCGGCCGGTGGTGTTCAGAGTCAAATTATATTCACGGTCACCTGCGAAGGAAAGCCAGCACGCTCGCATTCCGCGTGTCCGTAGTCATCTCCCTGTGCGCTTCGGTCGCTCGCTTGTACGGAGAACACCGGGTAATTTCCGGTGTTTTCCGCGGCCGAATTGGCGGGTAGGACTCCCTGACTAAATCGTATGACTGTACTTGGCTGTACACACATGTCACGTGGATCTACATGGCTGTACATCCACTGCCATCTGCAACACTGGGAGCTGCCTACTCACTGCGCGGTTGCTGGCGCTAGCGCTGAGACGCCGCCCCTGAGGCCTTTTCCCGGGGAGGCCCCCGCGAAGTGACCAGGCTTGCTACACGACCAGCTGCGACGCTCACGCTGACGCCGGGGCGCGTGCTAGATAGCCGCGAGCGTTCTGGCAGCGAGCCAAGACTCCGCTACGCTCGCGGTGGTCACTTCCGTTGCGCGCAGCCGCTTAACAATTATTGATGCATGTTTTTTTCCAAGCAGGGGGACGCCCGTTATACCCTCCTCCCCCCCCCCCCCCCCTTTGGAGCCGCCCATCCTCCACCTCCGATGAGTCACTCCATGCTACAGACAAAGCAATGCATATATAGAAGACGGATGTGGCTTTGACAACGCATCATTTACCACGAAAGAAAAGCATATTTACCCATGTTTTGAAGGTCACTTCTTAGTACCGCTACTTCATCCACTTACACCTGATTTGTTTGGAGCCATTGTTCACTTAATGACCGTGATAATTTTTTTCAAAAACTAATGTTTGTCTGCATCGCAACTTTATTTCAGAACGCTTCTTCCAATGTTTACCAATCTTACCTAGTGAAGTGGGTTGTGGCACGATAATTTCTCATTCTTACCTTTCCACGAGCGCCGTCTTTCTTCCAACGTTCCTGCCATTCCTTAAGCGTAATTCTTTTTTTAGTTTACCAGCACATCAATTTTCTTAATCTTCTTTCATCTCAATGCGGATTTGAGGACATTTAGCAACTTGATAACACAAAACGCGGCTGGAATAATCAGTCCCAGACCCGCGAATCAGCGGCTGACGTTTGCTTTCCACGTTGGAATAGCCCAACTGACGCCGGCCGGCCAGAGGCCTTGGCACGCAGAGACATCTATCGGGAGTAAATTCCCTGGATTGCCCCATTTACGTGGCCGAGCTACAGCATGTCCCAAGTCTGTGCCTGTTCTCCAATTGCGAATGTGGTGATGTTCCCTGAATAAAGCGTAATTTCTACGACAGGAGGCTGTCACAACGCTCCTGACCGAACACTACATACACTGATCAATGACTAAGATGCACTTCGCAGTGCTGTCGGGTGGACCGTGTTGTTTTACCCGTTGTTCACATGCCATCGGCGAGTTTCAGACGCGGTTTTCCTGGCTGATCTGCGACGTGGCCGGGTCGGAAGTCGAGCCAGCGAGACCGGCAGCGAAGGTGGCGAATGCAGTAACCTGGCCTGAATTCTGAACAAGCATGCATGCTTCCCTTGCCTCTCAGAATGGTGGTGCCATTGGTCGGATATGAATGGAAACATGTTAAAGTGGCACGATATATCTGGTGCAATTACGGCCTTCAATCGCTGTTGTGTTGCGCGTCAGTTCGCCGCGGTTTGACTTGTTTGACGGCGGACCTGTCAACCGGTTAATGCCCTGCGTAAACGGAGCTTGTGCTCGTGTCTGGCCGTGCCCAGGACCTGACCTGACCTGACCGGACCGGTTCCAGATCGGCCGTCGCCTGCCGCTGGGTGACCATGCTGTGTGCGGCCGGTGTGTCTGTGCGGGCCGGCGTGCCGTGCGTGGTCGGCCGGCGTCTGCTCGGCCTGGCGGCGCCGCTGTGCGGCCGGCCGACCGGCAGGCGGGCGCTGCTCACTGAGGAGGAGAGGCGGGACGCCCTGGCGCCGCTGCTCGGTACGTGCCGGGCAGGAGGAGTGGCGCGGCCGAATACACCGCTGGCCGCACATGGCACCTGCCCATTTAGGATGCATTTGAAATGTTGTTTTTTGCGTGGTCCGTTTGCTGTACATGTCACCATCACATCTGTTGTCCTTTGTTGTTTATTGTCAGCAGAGACACCATCCCAGCCCGTTGTGCGTATTCTGCAAACGGTACGCAAGTGTACGGTACGCAAGTACGCGGTCGCGTAATCCCTGCGACCTTTCGCACCAGCGTGCCGTGGCATTTCTTCCCTTGCCTCCCGCCCCCCCCCCCCCCCCCCCCGCCGCCGCATGCCATTATAGTGCTTGGTTTCCCTCCTCATGGAACATTCTGCCACCTCGACGCGGTGCATTGGTCGTTCCCGTGGGTCACCTCGTCACCTGCCGGCAGGTACGGGCTGGACGCTGTCGGCCCAGCAGGACGCCATCCAGAAGACGTTCCGCTTCGCCAATTTCCGCCAGGCGTGGGCGTTCATGTCGCGCGTGGCGGAGGAGGCGGAGCGCCGCAACCACCACCCGGATTGGAGCAACTGCTACGGCCGCGTCGACGTCACGCTGACGTCACATGACGTGCGCGGCATCAGCCGTCGCGACGTCCAGCTGGCGACATTCGCCGACACGGCTGCTGCGGTGACGTCAGAGTGACGTCATGGGACGAGTTTCGTGGAGTTGGTTGCTGGTGCGACGTCTGGTGCGAGTGACTTCAGGCGGTGATGTTCGCCGGTGTGACGTCATATGACGGCGTTCGTCTACGCCGTCACCGAGGTGACGTCTTATAGTGAGCTTCGCTGCTGCGGCCGGTGCTGTGATTTTGGAATTACGCTGCGTTTATTCTCCACGGGAATAAAATGTTTCTCGCAATCACGGTCTTTGAGGAGAAAAGCATGCGATCAGACGCATTTAACATGGGTCTTGGTTTGGAGAGCGAATGTATGGTGCTGTCCAATAGCGAATCAGCTGTTTCCAAAGCTGTTGGAAAACTAATGGTCCTTGTGGACGCAACCAGTGTAAATCGCTGGCCCCTGCATCGCCATCGCTTGGAAGTGGGCCCTCAGGCCCATACCGACACGAAGCCAACTGTGCGCTTTTGGTGGTGCCTGACCGGTATGTAGACGGGGCCCGATGGGCGCAAAGGGCGCTCTGGCTGGTGTGTTGGGTTCCTAGTCACGTTGGAATCGCGGGCAACGAGGTGGCTGACGCGGCTGCCAGACGAGCAGCGCTGGCTCTATGTGTTTGCACCCTTTCTATTCTTGCCAGAGACTTTTATCCCGCAATAAAAACCTTCCTGCATAACAAGTGGCAGCGTTGTTGGGATCAGTTGGAAGGTAATAAGCTTAAAGAGATCAAACCTAAGCTGGGTCAGTGGTGATTCTGTGCAGACTACGTATCGGACACACATACGCAACCCACGGCTATCTGTTGGAGGGAGCTGATAAATCTATCTGCCATCAATGCGGCGCTGTCCTCACCGTTCGTCATGTCCTCGTGTCTTGTCTGCGCCTCGTGGAAAAACGCCACCGTTACTTTGGACAGCACGACTCGCCCCTTACCCTCAGTGATATGATAGGAGACAACTCACAATTTCTTGGAGCTCAACAGATCTTTTTATTTCTCAAACACACCAACTTTAGAACCATTTATGCTGCCTATTAGATAGGTAAAATAAAACCCGTTGTGGGCGCCAAATGACCACCGCAGTCGGCGCGCCCCTAAACTCCAATAAACAACAAGAACAAAAAGCGCTTTTGCTGGGATTGGAGTGCTCGACCCTGCGCCAGAGCCCCTGAGTGCGACCTCCGGCCTACATACCAGACCCGTCAGGCCCTCAAAACGGGATGTTAGGGGGGGGGGACATGTGCCCCTGTGCATCCATGCATTCGCCGCTGGGATCGAGAGCCCCTTGTGCCCTCTCCCCTTTGTTTTGTCCTGCCCATCTGTTCTCGTACCTATGCCAAGGTGCAAGAGATCATTTCCCAATTTTGTTCATTGTGGATGAATGTCGTGTCTAAATATGACATTTCCACTGATGGGTATATTATTATTAGCGATGGTATGATTGTCAGATGATGACAGAGCACTTATACGCCGGGCAATGCCACGTTTAAAAATTGGTGTCGGTGATCGGTAATAACTGATGACGAGACATGAAAATTTTCCAGCTGTGCTGTTACCAGAGATTAGTAGCTGCAAAGTTCAAATTGCATCTCCTTACTATGCTTGTCAGTCAACGTAAATCACATTATCTAACGTTCGACATAACTGTTTGGCAAAACAAGATGTGAAATGTTGGATGTCACCCCAGGCGAAACTGATTTAGTGTAAGACATGCCGTGAACTAGTAGTCACGTGACCTAGGCGGCATTTCTACCAGTTCTAGTTTTGATTTATAGCAGAATTTGAGGATAATTGACGGTCTGGGATAGGCATACCGAGAACTTGCCGTCGTAAAGATGAACAGCAGGCAGAAATTTTGCACCGCATTTAAATAACTGGTACAACTAATATACTCTTAGGTCATGGGTTTATAGAGCACGAAAACAGTCATTTTGCTTCGGGATATGTAAAGGAAAAGGTGAATTGCACAGATTCGAAAAATATTTCATGTTTGTCTTGCAACACTCCTCAAAGCTATCGCCGAAAGTTATCGCGCTGTTTGATCACATCCTCATAATCGTCGCAAACGAGGTCGAACTAAAGTGCGATGCAGTCAAATAAACAACCAACGTGATGGTGTACGGTGAGACTAATGACATTTCCTCGGAAAGCACCAAATTTAGTTTAACTTGCATTCAAAATAATGTTCAAGTAAACTTTTGAGCTAATCAGTCAATATTTGCCATGCAAACTGAGTGTTTTTTAATAATGCGCATCTCATCGAGGCCTTTACGATCCGTTCATCATAGCCACATGATTTGTAATTTAGCTTTGGCGTACACACCAAATCAAGCATTTTGTCTCATCCGCGCCGTCATATGGATCACGATTTGTAACGTCCGTTGATGGATAAGACATCGTCCGGCCCGCATGGGAAGGAATTTGGAAATCAGTGAGGATTTCGTCAATGCTGGTGAGCCTTACTAAACACAAAATACGCATTGAGAAGCCTCAGGTGCTGGTCGATTTTTTGGGTTGCATGTCCGGTCGAGATGTTCTTTTTGTAGACCATCGTGGCTAAGGCAACTTGTCATGTCTTTCCAAGTAAATGTAGAAGACGAGCAAACGGCCGGGACTAAATTGATATTCATAAGGTAGGACATATGAACACGGTTCTTTGATGAAATAGAGACAAGCAGATGGCCGGGACTAAGCTGATATTCATAATGTAGGGCATATGAACATAGTTCCTTGATGAAATGTATCACATGAAACCAGGACCAAGATGCGTGCATGCCAGAATGGCATCGGCCTTGTGATTTCATTTACACTAGAAATGCCTTGGTGAGAGCCTTTTTAGGGATGAGTGCTTGAGCAAGCATATCTTAAAGTGACTCAACCTTGTGCACCATAGGGGGATGGATGGGCTGGTGGATCAGAAGGCAGGTGCTTTAACTAACTGAGCCGTTGGGACAGTCCAGTTTCGCACGACGTTTCTACTGATTCTAGTGCATAGGTTGTCATTGTTCCAATAGATTATGGTGTAACAAAGGCAGTATCAGGTAGAAGTACTCAAAGCACATTTTTCCATGCATGGTTTGTAAGTTTTGTACAACCTGGCATAGTCTGTGTTTGCTGTACACAAGCATGAGGTGCAGTGCAGAGATGTTGTGCAGGTGTCTAGCACAGTGGATGGATTTTTATAGTCTGACCCTGCTGCTCCATGCCTGATGTCATTCTTACATGATGAATGTCTGTGTTGAAATAGCAGAAACAGTCAGTGAGACATAAAACTCTTTATAATTATTATATGATGCGAGTGATGTATTTGACAAAGTCTGGGCATTGCCATGGTAAGGCAGGCTAGCTCCCATGTTTTTCCATTTCTTGTTTGCATCTCAACAATGCCACTGTATGGACACAACTTTAAATGAAGTTGGTTTGAGTTGAAATATCTCTGGTTTTGAGAATGCAAGCAAGCTCAAATGCAGAAAAATGCTGTGACGTGTTGTTATTCATTTTGTTCCATTATTTTTTGCCAGTCATGGTATTTATGTTTTGTCATTGTCAATGAATCATCACAGCTAGCTTTTCTATTTATTGAGCTTACTATGGCTTTGTGGGGTTTAAGCATGGCTCCTATCCAGAAAACATGTTGTTTGCTGCAACAACCAGCTTAGGTAATGCTGGAGCTAATTCTTAAGTGCAGGATGACATTTTTGCCAGCAATTATTGCATCACTTATGAACCACAATAGATTACTTGTAGGCACATGTAAATGTTTGCTTCGCCACCTGCAGCCAACTACTATTTTCAGATTTGCAATTGAAACTGGACAAAGTTTCATCTCAGGTGGACAGGTTGCTAAATTTTCCAAGAAACCTCATTGGCAGATAAGGCTTGACAAACCAGTGTTGAAAAATCTAAAAATTTTCCTGGTAGTGGAGTACAAATTTTCTATAGTGGAATACAAAATTTTCCAAGTGCCGCAGGTCATTGCAGTTTTATTTATGTTATCTTTGAGAGATAACAGTACAATAGGTGGTTCTCAACAAAAACCCCACTTTTCATGTACAGGAATTCATGTAAAAACACTTTAAATGAGAGGAAGCATCAGTATAAAACATGGCACACTGAAACAACACAGTCTCTTACTCTGTACTATGCAACTTATGTGCATATACATGGGTTTGCAATTTATGAAAGGCTCTGCATACACCCTCCAAAATGGAGAGTAATTACCCATCGGGCTTATACACTCCAAAATGGAGGGTGGCCGCACACCGGACTTATACACCCTCCAAAATGGAGGATGGGTATGGTGCGCACAGCCAGAGAAAAATGGTACACAAAAAATGCAAATTAACATGCCACAGACGACCACGTACTCATGCTCCACCACGATCACGCTACTTACGCTCCACCATGGTCACGGTGCTCACGCTCCGTCAGCTAACTGGTTTTAAAAAACAGCTAAGCATTTATGCCCTCCTCGTTCCAACTCTCAGTCAACACACAAGGCTCTGCACGTTCCACCTGAACAATAGAGACAGGCAGCACTCTTCACCAATCACCGAGCCAGCATGAGTACGATGCCTGACAGACCCGTGCAGGCCGGCCAAAAGGGATCGCAGCAGTCACTCTGCTGACTCCGGAGGATAATGCAATATATTAATGGATTTTGATGCGCTTTTACCGATGCATTGCAAGATATGTTAATTCAGGTTGCAATTTAATAATGTTTTTGTCTTAATAAACCCTCCTCCGTAATTTGCCGGACCAAAGTTACGGGTTCATCTTACTCTGGTGTCCTTGTGTTTTTGCCGGAGTGAGATGGCTGTCTCCGAGCAGTTTTTTTGGCTATTTATAGCAACACTTTTCAGCTCAAAAAGATATTTTTGTAAAGCCTGAATTACCAGCTTCAATTTCACACCCTTAACTGACAAAGTTAACTTGGTTCAAATCCACAGCTGCCGTAACATTTTTGTGCTCCGGATACCAGGAGGTGGCCAAAAATCCAACCACTTGGCGGTTCTGGATGAGTACAAATAAGTCCTTCATAATCGTGATGTCCATCTCTATACAGCTTCCCTCCAAATGTTTACAAATCTGTTCAAGGCATGAGCACGAGCAGAATATTTATGTTCTCGACAAATCAGTGACGAGGAGGCAAACCATTAAAACCAACTGGAGGGTTTTGCTATGTTCAACCTCCAACCTGAGCTGGGAGGCGGGCGCAAGCCGCTGAATAGTCGAGACGCTTCCGACGCTGAATTGCGAGTGATTCTCTTATTTGCATTGCTATGACACAGTGGTGTTGCTTGAGTAGGCAGCTGTCTGCGGTAGGTGATTGGCATTGTGGTTTTCTATGACTGTTTGTTGCATCCTTGGCAATTAATGTGATTCGTTGTTAGTGGTGGGTTAAGTCATCTTCAAGTTGGTCTGTGTAGGGCATAGGAAACGAGAGCTTTGCTAATGTACAGACCGGTGCGATTCGGGTACTCGTTTCTCATTGCCCGGTATAGTTCAAAGGTGACTCCATTCAACATTCACACATTTTATTTTTCATATTTCCATACATGGTTTATCAAATACCTAGGTGGCAACACAGGCTGCTTGCTATTGGGCACCTTAGTCTGGTGGGTGCAAGATTTGTGCCCTTGCAGATATCAGTACATGGCTCCTGATGGAAGCAGCAAGTATCAAGCCGTTGCACCTTCTGGTTTTATTTTGTCCTGACACAAAGAGGTAAAATGAGTTTTTCCACAAGCTGTTTTTGTTGCATCATGGAGTACAAAACATTTCATTTTACCTAGTGACAATCCTGAAGTACAAAAGCTCCTGGTATACATTATACCAGAAAACATCAAGTTTTCCGACACTGTGACAAACTCATTTCTAAACTGTGACCTGAAGGACTAAGTAGGCAAATTGACTAAAGACCAGCTATGCTCATCTATAGTCACCCAATATAAAGAGCAGTCATACAAATGTGTTAATAACCCTTGTGACTGACTCAAATCATTGCAGCATGATGCCTCCAGTGGCAGACCCAATTGGGGCCTACCTGCACAGCTCTCTCACCAAGCATGGCACCAGTGGTCCTGAGGCTACCATTCTCCAGACCAAGCTACAGGTGAGGATGTGATGACAGATATTTGATGAAATGCCACATTCATCAAGTGACTACCATGAGAATGGATGGCTGTTGTGTGGGTAAACAACTGCCAGTTAGAGCCTTCACAGAGACCCCAGATGTGTTCACACTATTAGCCATCCTCATTACATTGTCGGTCCATCATGTGTCATTTATTACTAGTGTCAATGTTTTTCAAACATTTTTTGTGACTTTCAACATTGATGTATGACAGCATATGCAAACGCGATGGGTTTTGTTTTGGAGCAAACACATCAATTATTTGTAACATACTAGTTTCAGCTGCAACACTCCTATTTGCTGCTTGATCAGGTAGCTGTGTCCAAATCCCGTGCATGTGGACATCATCAAGATGCAACAGTATGCAACCCCTGCCCTCTTAATCTCATCGCGGACACCATCCTCTACTATCAGCCACCAGCAACATCCTGACTCTGTGAGGCTGGCCCTGCTGACCACCCTGCCTGCTGGCGTCACCCTCCGGCACCACCCATTGGCATCACTCTCTGGTATCACCTGCTGGCACCACCCTTTGGCACCATCCACTGCCACCACCCTCTGGCGCCCCCTCTGGTACCACCCTCTGGCACCATGTACTGACACCATGTGCTGGCACTACCCACTGGCACCACTTGCTGGTACCACCCACTGGCACCAGCTACTGGCACCACCTGCTGGCACCATCCCTCTACTATCAGCCCCTGACGCCACCCTGCTGGCCCCCGCTGACTGCCCGCCTTGACCCGGCCCGGCCGCCAGGCGTCGGCGAAGCGGGCGCTGCTGAGCCGGGTGGAGTTCGAGCCCGCTGAGCGGCAGCACAGCCACCTGCTGCAGCAGCTCCAGACCAAGTACATCGTGCTGGGCGAGCGTGACTGGGGCGGCGGCGCCGGCTCGCAGCCCGCCGCCAACGGCACCAGCGGCAGCGGCGGCGCCGGTGAGTGGCGCCCGGCAGCGCCGGCCCGCTGGCAGCGGCGGCGCGCGCGGCCAAAACATCTGTAGGTAACGTCTGGTGAACAGGCTTAAGCCGCGTAACCATGCGCTTGGTGCGTTCTTTAAGCGTCATGGGCAAATCGGGGTGCTGTGTTTGGGAGTGTGTCCAGATGTGCCGCATTGTCGTATGCCATGTGTGAGAGCGGTTAGTGAAATGCAGTTGCAGCTCTTGCTTTCTGCCAGAACGATGCAGACTTAGCGGTGGCTCGCGTGAGTCGAACCTGGGTCTCAAATCGCGTCCAAAGCGTCGCCGATCGCGTTTCGCGAGGAAGACGGCGGGCGCCTGGTCCGCGTATCGGGCGGAGCGGGCTGACAGGTGAGCTGTGCAGTGTGTGGCCGGCCCCGGACTGCCTCTCGATCGACGCGCTGCGCTGCAGGGGACGGGCCGTCCAGCGGCCGCCCGCAGCCGCCCATCTGCCTCAGCAAGAAGTCGGAGCTGCGCCTGGGCTGGGGCAACGCCAGCTACCCCACCGGCGCCGGCATGGTCAACCTGGGCAACACGTGCTACCTCAACTCCAGCCTACAGGTCAGTCGGCGCTACGTGAGGAGGGCTCTGCCTCCGCGTGCCGCCGGAACTTTGGCTGCCGCTGCCGTCGTCAGCTGCGGTCCTTGCCGTGTGGGGTTGGTACGTCCGGTAATCCCCAATGCTCCCTCTGGTCGAGTATGGCAGCACCTCATCACGGTGCTTGATTCTGACTTTTCTCTGCGTTAGACCAAGCATATACTTTGTTAAAACGCTTCGTAAAAATGAACGCGGGTTACACCAGAACGTTTTACCCGTGTGATGATGGGCGCGAAATGACCGCTTAGTAGCAGCACTTGAAAGCCTGAATGGCAAGGGAGCCAAAGCCCATTGAAAGTGTGTTGTGAACGCTGATAGCTATCTTGGAATGCTGCGCGGAACATCGTGACCTGCTTTGATTGTCGTAGCTTGCCATACGATTCCCCCCTGCTGACAGCGCCATCTTTTGCTGTGACTCACGTCCATATGAACCGGTGCAGTTCATCTACTGGCCCTGACCCTCGGCGGCCCGCCCTTGACCCTCGATGACCTGTCTCTGACCCTCGGCGGCCGGCACCTGACCCTCGGTGGCCCACCCCTGACCCTCTGCAGCCCGCCCCTGACCCGCAGTGTCTCGCCTCTGACCCTCGACGACCCGCCCCTGACTTTCTGCGGCCCGCCCCTGACTCAGCGACCGGCCCCTGGCCCTCGGTGACCCGCTCCTGACCCTCGGTGACCCACTCCTGACTCAGCGACCGGCCCCTGACCCTCAGGCGGCCTGCCTCTGACCCTCGGGACCCGCCCTTGACCTTCTGCGGCCCGCCTCCTGACTCAGCGACCGGCCCCTGACCCTCGGCGGCCTGCCTCTGACCCTCGACGACCCGCCCTTGACATTCTGCGGCCCGCCCCTGACCCTCTGCAGCCCGCCCCTGACCCTCGGTGACCCGCTCCTGACCTTCTGAGGCCCGCCCCTGACCGTCGGCGGCCCGTCGACAGGCGCTGTTCCACGCGCCGGCGCTGGTGCGCTGGCTGTTAGAGGACTCGCGCCACGCGGCGCGCTGCGGCAGCTCCGACCAGTGCACCGTCTGCTCCATGGCTCGCACACTGCGCTCCACGCACCAGCGCCAGGGCGGCGTCGTCAAGCCTATCCTCATCTACTCCAAGCTGAAGCGTACGTGACCGCGCGCCGGCCGTGGCGGCACGGCTCAGGGTTTCGTTGGTGCTGGTGCTTGTGCTGGTGTTGGCGGCGTCCGCTGGGCTGGTGGCCTGGTGGTTTGCGGCTGCTTCCCGGGGACTGTGCGGCAGCCGGAGGGAAGGTTGTGACACCTCGGGATGCTGGGCGCGGCGGGTGCATCCTGCCGGCGCGAGCGAGGATTACGACGCCCTCTGCTTCTGAGCACATCGGCTGCGCGCGGGTTTGCGATGCGACGTGGGGACACCTATCGGTGGCTGTTGGCGGCCGTAAGCAACACTGCCCGGATATCTGGACAGAAGACCTTTCTGCAGTGCTGGGTAGTGGACACATGCATTGTCTGCAGCTGCCGTTCGAGCGCGTGCCCCGTGCGCGTCGTCCTAGGCAGCGTGTGTTCTCCTGCTTCCAGTCATCTGCAAGCACCTGATCCACGGGCGGCAGGAGGACGCCCACGAGTTCGTGCGCCACCTGCTAGACAGCATGCAGCGCTGCCATCTGTTGGCCATGCGCGCAACTAAGCTCGACACCCTGAGCAAGGAGACGACACCGCTCAATCACCTGTTTGGCGGCTACCTGAAGACACAAGGTGGGCTGATGAAAGTAGCGTGGTTTGGAGGAGGCAGCGTGCATACCTAGTGTAGTGGAACCATGGAGAATGCTGATGTATTCAAACAGAAAAGGCCACTTAATTACCAGACCCTGTGCAAAGCCAAGTCATAAGAATTGTACTGAGTAATTTATTACTTTAAAATTATTCTTTGTACCATTTTTATTGAATTTATTAGGTATGCTTTTTTCGATTTTTGGATTTTATGTGTCGTTATTTTCGCTTGTTTATTTATTATTAATTGATAATTCATCAAGGTAAGAGTCTGGCATGTATAAATAATTCAGAAAAGTGATCACCTCGCCACATCGGTCACGTTTGCGGCCGATGATACCGCCACCCAGCATGCAGTGGTGACTTCTGATAACGCACACACGGGGCAGATCGTGGGACTCAAAAAGTCGTAACTTATTTGCCGTAACCAGCCAGCCAGCGTCTGGCGATGCTGGCGGCGTGTGGCCGTTACCGACGCACGGTCTGCGGGTGAGACGGCGGGGGAAACGATCGCACGTCGTGCCGAAGCGCCCCTCGGTCTGAAGACTGGCGGTTGGTCCGTTGGAATTGTAGTAGTTGACGTTGGAAACGTTGATGGTCTTCTAGCTCTGCGCTGTAGCTTTGCGTGCGTGGAAACCGCTGGCGGGGCAAAACATCGTCCGACCTGTCTCGGGCGAGGCAACTCTGCAAAAATTGTTTCAGGTTATCGATATAGCACAGTAATGACGTATTAATTCTCTGAATATGATACAAGGAGCATTGAGCGCCCACGGCCAGACCCAGACCAGTTAGAGCCATTCATGTTGCGTTTTGCATGCTGCCGGAGACGACCGATTAGACGAGGCACCAGCTGAGGTCCGGACCAGCGGGCCCGTGGTCCGAGCTGCGGCTGGTCGCAGCCGCCAGCATCCGCTCCGCTGCCAGCGGCGTTCTCCGTGTCGGGGCTGCAAGCGCGGCGCGGACGCCCGCCGTGTAGCGTCGGCCCGGCGGCGTGACGGTTTGGCCGTATGACGGCTGTGACGGCTGTGACGGCGCGGCGACTGCGGCGAACGGTCACGTGACGTAGCGTTTCAAAATTCATCCGCTAGGGTGTGCAGTAGGTCAATATAAGTTCATGCCGCCAGAATTATGACTTCCAGGTGGCCAACGCACGCAACATTCGTTGGCTGTTAATCCGTTGCCCTCTGACTCTGATCCCCGGCATCTGACCTGGCTGGTCGATTTGCCAAGTCCGAGGCGCCTGGATACTGTGTTTGTTGCCGCCAGGTTCGATGGTGATTGGCCGATCCTGTGTGAGGGTAGAAGCCAGAGGCAATAATCCCCGAGTCAGGGGTGCGATAGCTTGCAAAATGTCGACATTCTCCGCCAGCCCAGCGGCCGAATATCAAAACTGGCGAGAGAGCGGTGCTCTTGAGAGGCTCTGCTCCTGCTGCTCCGCCGTTTTTTAATTTTCCACCGCTGGGCAGTCTCGTGCAGGCGTCTGTCGTCGGTCCATAGGTCACGTGCCGTGAGTGGGTTGTTCGACCTCAGGTCATCGGTTAATGACGTCACGCGCAGCGCCATGTGCACTGTACCGAGAGCTAATCCGCGGCCGCGGCCGGACGGGTCTTAGCGGACCTGTGGCCTATCTGGCTAGCGCAGGCGCCGCCCGGCCGTGGTCGCCTTTGGCCGAGACGTCCTGTTGTGCCTGTGGGACCCGCGGGCGGAGAGCGACCGACCCCTCGACCTCTTGCTGTGCCGGTGGGACCCGCGGGCGGAGAGCGATCGATCCTTTGACCTCCTGATGTGCCGGTGGGACCCGTGGGCGAAGAGCGATCGACCCCTTGACCTCCTCTTGTGCCGGTGGGACCCGCGGGCGGAGGGTGACCGACCTCTCAACCTCCTGCTGTGCCGGTGGGACCCGCGCGCGGACAGGGACTGACCTCTCGACTTCCTATCGGAAAGCCGGTCCGAACTGCGGCCTGTGGCGTGTCGTATGGTCTTCTGCTGCCACCGTATCTGCTGATGTCACTTCATGATGTGAGGTACCGTATCGCATCCTGCCGTGTCCGGTAGCGTGTGATGACTTGTGGCCACATGTGCTAGCCTTTAAGCGTGACATGTCGGTGTCTCGCGTGTTTGCCTGCGCTGGCGTCACGTGCAGGCCCTCGGCCGTCCAGCGGAGGCCGCGGAGCTGGTGCTTCTGGGCGGATAGCTGACAGCTGTTCTCCGTTCCAGTGACGTGTCTGCGCTGTCACCACGCCTCCATGACCTTCCAGCACTTCCAGGACCTGCTGGTGGACGTGCGGCAGGTGAGGAGGCTGGCTTTGTGTCACAGGCAACTCCAGTGTCCTGGTTTGAATTACAGACTCCTGAACAGCTCTGTTTGATTGTTTGGCATGCCACACAGCTGGCTTGTCGCGGAATACCTCTTGCGTCGGTATCTGGTCGGGCGGAGGCTGATGCGCATCAAATAGTTTTCTCTCGCCCGCCGTGAGTCAGCCGTGAGGTCGGTGACCCGAATAGCTTAATATCTCTGCACTCGGCGCACCCAAAAACGCTAATTAAAAACAAATCAGCGATCCGCCGCGGTCAGAACTTCAATTTTACCGTACCTCACGATCGCGCGCACCGGACGTCTGACTGCCGCGCTCGCTCGTGACGTCGTGCCGGCTTCTTGCCGCGCAGGTGTCCACTGTCGACGACGCCTTGCATTTGTACTTCAAAAAAGAGCGACTAGATGGCGCTGACTACAAGTGTGAACGCTGCCGCATGAAGGTGCCGGCAACGAAGAAGTTCTTCATCGACGAGACGCCACTCGTCCTCTGCATACAGCTCAAAAGGTGCTGGATATGATGCAACGCCCGCTGTCTCGCGTGTGACGTAACGCCCCCTCGTTTGAGTATGTGCTCGCGTCGATCACGATTTGGTGAGGTTTAGGGTCTGGTCATTCGTCTGCCATGAATTACTACTTGGTTGATAGTGCTCGTAGCCTTGTCTCCCGACTGTTGTCGCTCACATGCTGGATGGGAAGTAAGTCAAGGGCGTCGTGTGACCGTAGCAGTCGGTGCCCTCTGAAGCCCAAATCATCGTGATTATCACGAATGGTAATGTGAGTTATCTTGTGCTTGGGAGATCGTTTTGTCTGCTTGTTCGCTCCCGGTGACTGTCAAAGCGGGGGCCAGTTTACTCTGGTTGTCCAGCCATGTTTACACCAGCGGCTGCCAGTCACCGAGCGTCTTAATCCTGTTTTAGAGCGCGTCAGCTACCTCGGTAGTATGCGCGTCCGAAGCCTAGCACCATTTAAGTGGTCATAGGGGGTTGTGAGCACTCCTAAGGCCATCATATGTAAAGCCTAGCACCAGTAGCGTCCGAAGCCTAGCACCATTTAAATGGTCATTGGGGGCTGTGAGCACCCGCCTAAGGCAAAAATATGTTAAGTGCTTCATCACATTCACTGTTGATAATCGTTGTCCGCTATTTTGTACTGTATTAGGCCGCTGGCTATTCTAAAATCAGCGGTTGAACCCCTGACAATGCAAAACATCGGAAATGTCACTTCTGCACTTGTCCGTTTTGGCTCACGTAGCTTTAATGCCATGGTAAAAACTGCCGTAATGTGGGTACCTGGTCGTCGAACTGGCATTCCATTGAGCCCACGCAAAAGCTCGCGCAAAAGCTGAGCTTTGCAGGGGCGTTCCGCGTAAATAGCGAACGTCCGTCGATAAGAAAGACGTATGACTGTGGCGGCACGAAACATGTTGCTGCCAGTGCAACTGCCAGCCAGTATTTCGCGGGGCCCAAGTCTCGTAAGCCAGTACTCTTCATGGAAGTGAATCTCCTGGCGTGTACCAATCATGAGGCAGGATCCGAGCGTGCGTGCGGAACCGCGAAGGCAGCGGCGGGATCCAACTGGTTGCTGGTCGAGAGCATATTGCAAATGTGGTGCAGAGTCGACCTACCTAGACACTCGCAACAGGACCAAGCATTATTCTCATCTTTCCAGCATCGAAAATAATCATGACCGTGGCAGTGAAGAGGCAAATTTTTGCTGGGGAGCGGAAATCATTAGCGTCCACCGATAGGTGGCAGCACTGGAGCAGTGAGAGCATTTTGCCAGCTGTTGACCGCTGACCGCTGCTGTGCGCAGGTTCAGCCTCGGCGGCGGGAAGATCACCAAGCACGTGTCTTTCCCCAACAAATTGAACGTGGCCCGGTTCATGACCCGTCCTCCGGCCCAGGGTCAGGTAAGCACTACACGCCGAGGGCGGGGGGGGGGGGGGGGATGGGGCCAGGAGCGCCGCGGTAAAACTGCGGCGGCGGAGGGGTCGGAAGGGCACGGCTGGTTACTGATTGCTCTCTCGCGTGGCAGACGGCCACACAACTTCTAAAGACGACACCTTGACGTTTGCAGGCCATTCGTGAAAAGGTTGTGCTATTAACCTATTTACTGAAAGGTTTACCTTGTTACGATGAACGGTGTGGGAGATTTCTGGGAATGGCAGATTGGAAAGGAGGGCTTGCTCTGCGCCGCTCCCCCCTCGCCTCACCGGGCCGGGCGGCGCAAGGATGGAGGCGGGCGGCCCGACGCGGGCTCACTTCAAAGACGGGCCTGCCCGGCCGCTGCGTCACCTTTCCAACAGCATCTCGCCCGCACAAACGGAGACTGCACAGCCAGATCCAGGCGGGAGGACTGTGTGGCGAGGCTGCCAGGGCCGTCAGGGGTCCGGCGCTATCGTCACGCGCCATGCGCGCGTGACGACACGCGCCCTGTCCGTGTTAAAGCAGTGAATGCCGAATGTATAAGTGTGTAATGATCAGTGTCCTGAGGTGTGTTGTGTTGAAATGTGGTGTTTGAGGGTGCAGGGTGGATTTACCTGTTCGCCGGTGGCCGGTATATATATATATATATATATATATATATATATATATATATATATATATATATATATATATATATATATATATATACGTACGTATGTATGTACATTTAACTTTTATTGTTACCATATAACATGTATATATATATATATATATATATATATATATATAACATGTGAATATGCATGTGGTATAGGCTTATATAACGTGTGTATAGGTCTATTTTTATGGCCTTTCAGCTTATTGTCAATGACTTAATTTGATGATATTGTGTGACCTTGTCAGCCTTTAGGTCTGCTGACCTTTAGATATCGAAAGCCTATTTTTGTTTACATATTTGCCCATTTAAAGAACGGCATCCGCCATTAGACATCCAATCACCCCATATGCAATCCTACATACGATCAGTAGTACAAGAGCAGTAGTACAAGAGCAGTGGTACAAGAGCGTGCTGTCAGGCGGTGGTGCCGGTGACCTTTGGGCCGGCGTGGCGCGCCGTCTGGCGGCGATCGTGACCGCCATCTCTGCTCCGGCCGCAGGTGGTGTACTCGCTGGTGTCGCTCATCAACCACATGGGGCCGTCGCAGAACTGCGGGCACTACACGGCCATGGCCAAGGCCGCCAACGGCCAGGTGTACCTGTTCGACGACGCCTCGGTGAGCACGCGACCCTCGGCGCCGGGCGGGCCGGGCGGGTGTCGGGGCGGCGGTCGCGCGGGCCGGCGGCACCGGGCGGGGTGGGTGGTCACGGCATAGGCGACTCATAACGTGTGTGAGCGTGTACCACACACCGGCTACAAATGTAGCCGGCGTGTGGATCTCAAACGAACGCGGTGATTAAAGACCAGCGAAGACGGCATTGTCGTGGACAATGTTGGTACTGAGTTCAATCAGTGATGCTGGATGGTTAGGTGTATTTTTTAGGTGAAACTAGTGAAATGAAAACAATGGATGTCACCCTTGAATTGCTCGAGTCCGTACGTAACACGACCCCGGAGCGGTCGGTTAGTGAGATGAAGGCACCGTTTTTCTCACGGCACGAAATACTGCGGGAGTGACATTACAGCTGGTTGAAACTCGCTTCTGCAACTTACTGGTTTTAACCGGTTTTTGGCTGAATTATCATCAGCTGCCAAAACTCAACACCAAATTATTTGAGGGAGGGGAAAGGATCGTGTTCGAACTGTAGCGACAGTTTTCTTTTTCGTCAAGGAACTAACAACAGTACGCTGACAACGGCACTTTGACCACCAATTATGGTGTTTTCGCTACATTAGGCGTCTGACGTTGTGTCCTCCAGGTTTTTCGAATTCCAGCCCGCCAAGGTTTTGAAATGCATGGTTGAACAATGTCAAGCTGGAAATACAAAAAGCAAGCTTCGCCACGTGCCATTATGACCAAGCGCCCGCGAGAGAGGCTTCGCAGCTGTGTTTGCAGTAACGACACCAGTCGCATGACTCATCTCAAACTGTCAATATCACCACCACCCGCCACCACGTTGCACGCCGACGCCGATGGCAACAGCCGCCGGCCGAGTCCGGTTCCTTTGAGCGCGCCTCGGCTCGGTCGCGCGGCCCGCGTAATGATGGCTCGCCCGGAGCGCCGCCGGCCGGCGCCGCGCCGCGTCAACAGCTGCGGGTGCGTCACGATTGAGACTCGCTCGGCTGTGGTACATCCGCTTCAGCGGCGCGCTGGCGCTATGGCGCGCCGGTCTGACCTTCAAGCAGCCGCGGAGCGCGGGTCGTTATCGGGCTCGACGGTCCCCCGGGATTGCCGACGCCGCGGCGGGTTGCCGCGCTTCGCCGGCTCGTCGGGCGCTCGGTGTGCGGCCGTCTATCGTATTGGTCTCTGGCGTAACGGCGCCTGGTGTGAGTGTACTCCCGCGAACTTGGAGCCTTCGATGGAGTTCGTTAATGGTGCCGGAGCTTATTATCGGGTCGGGCTCAAAAGCTCTTTTCAAGCCATTTTTACGAGCGGCGCCGTGTTGTGCAAAAGATAAGACATCGCTGACATTAATTTAAAGCTGGAGGCACAAACGAAAGCGTTAAGAGCACCCCGCTAAGGGTTTTCTGCTAACCGGTTTTTATCATTGCGTACTGGCTAGCTGGAACTTCAGCGTCATTGCATCGGGTGAAATCCGGGTGCAATGACGCTGATCCGGTTATATCCGGGTGCAGTTCAGAATGTATCTGGAGCAGTATGCATAACATATGCCATAGCTGGTTGTAAGGTACGGCTTCACACGCTGTTTTCGGTACCAATTGTGGAAATTACACCAAATGCTTTGGTCGTACGGCGGTTTCACCTTACCGTCGCTGGTGTTTTTACCAAAACCAAACTCAATGTGACTACGAAAGCACAATATAATTGATCAGACGTCGAATGTGCTGGCTTTATGGGCTGCTTTCCGAGGTATGCCCGTCTTGCGGGTAAAGAACATAAAGTGGCAGAAACTTTCAGCCGGCCAAAATCCCAACCTATCAGCGAACGTTAACCGGTCGTACCCTCCTCCGCAACGGGCAAAGGTCCCCATTTCCAGTTTCCGCGCCTGTGCGGTTTGTGCGTACAGTCCTCCCTACATACCCAACTGAACATCGACCTGCGCGTGCGACCCAACTGATACCTGGCGGTCACCAGGTGCGGATGACCTCCATGGGCAACATGCTGAACACCAACGCGTACGTCCTCATCTACGAGATGACGTCGGCTACGCGCCAGCTGCTGCTCGGCCCTGCGCCCGGTGAGGACTGCCTGCTTCTGTTTGTGTCCGCCTCCATCCTGTATCACCTGTCCATGGCCTTGTGCTGTCTCATTTGGCGCCTGCGTTCGGCTCCTTCTGTCGTCTAGCCTGCCATCTACTTCTTCCGTCCGAAACGCTTGTCTGGCATCGGTGTTTACTGCAAATGTGGTCTGTGTTTCTGGGCCGGCAATGCGTTATTTATGCCAGGCGGCTGGACTCGCCGAACTCATATATTAGTTTCTGTATTTGCTCGATTGTTGTAATTGAATCCTTGATTGTTTTTGGTAAGCCATAAATCAGTTTGCCTATAGTCATTTATGTTTGTTTAAGCTAGCAAACATTTCAAGAACATTCGTCCCGCATTCTCATCCAGTAAAATATATGTATATATTGGTGTGTGCTTGTGTGTGTTGCCCACCTCGGTGTTGCAGTCACCATGAGATGTGCCGTATATATATATATTATATATATATATATATATATATATATATATATATATATATATATATCCATATATTGGTGTGCTTTTGTGCGATGCTCACCTCTTTGTTGCAGTCACTTGCTCGCTCACTCACTCACTCGCTCGCGCCATGGGCCCCTCGGATGCTGTGCTCCTGGTGTCCTGTGCCCCCACATACTGTACTCTCCTTACCTTTGCTCTGTGCTTCCTGTGCCATGTGGTCCTTATGACGTGTGCTCGGTGCCCTGTGCTCCCCGTTCTCTACTCTCCATGCCCTGTGCCTGTGGCTCCCTGCGACGGGGTTGACGCGGCGTCCCCGTCGTCAGGCTCTGGGCCGGCGGCGGTGGCCGGTGAGAACCGACCGACACCGGCACCTCCGCCGCCGCCGCCACCTCCGCCACCTCCGCCGCCTCCGCCTGCGCCGCAGCCCCTGCAGCCGCAGCCTCAGGCGGGCCGGCCACTGACCGGTGCTGCCAACAGGTGAGGCGTGGTGGAGCCGGCGCCGGGGTGTGACGTGCAGGACAGCCCGGGGTACCCTGCCCCTGCTGAGGAGCGGCTGTGGAGCCGGCGCTGGAGTGTGACGTACAGGACAGCCCGGGGTACCCTGCCCCTGCTGGGGGGGGGGGGGGGGGAGGGGCGGGGCTGTGGAGCGGCGCTGGAGTGTGACGTACAGGACAGCCCGGGGTACCCTGCCCCTGGGGAGCGCTGGAGCGTGGGTGTGGTACAGGACACCCGGGGCCCTGCTGGGGGGGCTTGTGGAGTCGGCGCTGGAGTGTGTGACGTGCGGACAGCCCAGGTACCCTGCCCTGCTGAGGAGCGGCTGTGGAGCCGGCGCTGGAGTGTGACGTACAGGACAGCCGGGGTACCCTGCCCTGCTGGGGGGGGGGGGGGGGGGGGTGTGGAGTGCGCTGGAGTGTGATGTACAGGACAGCCCGGGGTACCCTGTCCCTGCTGAGGAGCGGCTGTGGAGCCGGCGCCGGAGTGTGACGTACAGGACAGCCCGGGGTGATGCTGGGGAGCGAGAACGGCTATGCAGTCAGAGCTCCTTGGTCGGCCTCGTGTCACTGTATTGCAATCAGCGTTAAACAATGCTAGCCAGTGGTGCCCCACTACTGGCTAGCACCGTAGTGGGCCGCTATCACCCCATCTGGAGATGTGCGCTATTTAAGGCTGGGCCGGCCGCTGCTGATTATTGATCGGCGCCTCCACGCGCACCGCCCGGTGACGGTCCCCGCCCACGCGGCCTCGCACTACCATGTCTGGCTCCACCGGGAGTGTGGTTGTACATTAGCAACGCTGGAGCTTGGTTGGGTTGATCGGTGTGTTACTGAGAGTGGCTCTGAACCCCCCCCCCCCCCCCAGTCCCCCATCAGTCCCCCCCCCCCTCCGCTTCGTCTGTCTCTGCCTCGACCTCTGCACGCTCTTTTTCCTCTGTATTGTTTTGAAATTTGTGTTCGTCCATGCACGCTACTCTCACGGCCACTGCTTGATAGACTCGTACATTCACTCATTGAATTACTTTCAGTCATGCAGTCTCACTCACTCACTCACTCACTCACTCACTCACTCACTCACTCACTCACTCACTCACTCACTCACTCACTCACTCACTCACTCACTCACTCACTCACTCACTCACTCACTCACTCACTCACCCAACCGCTTCACTAATAACGTATCCAGCCGCGCGCAGACGACATAATGTTTCACGCACGCACACACGCCGGGCCGGTGGCCCGCTCCTTGCCCGGACCGGACACGAGCGCTTCATCCTTGGTCCAACTCGAGTGCAAATCCTGACCACTGCTCTAACGTCAAACCAGACTGACTGCTGTTTTAACGTGAAACCAGGCTGACGTGGCAGGCGCTGGACGCAGCGGCTCGTCATGGCTGCTGCATTTACACGCATCAGTGACTAACGCGATGACGGCGGCGGCGGCGGCGGTGGTGGAGTGGTTGTGACGATCGTAACGCCGTCGTGTCGGCCGCCGCCAGGAGCCGGATTTCGTTCACCGTGACGTCACAGTCGCCGACGATCGTGGTGAAGCGGCCGCTGCCTGGCAACCGGTCGGCCGTGCTCGGCCGCGCCGCCGCCGCGCCGCTCGTGCCGTATGCCGGCGGCTCCGACTCCGACTCCGACTCGGACTCTGAGAACCGCGCCGCGCCGGCCGCGCCGCGCGTCAACGGCGCCGCCGCCGCGGCCGGCCCTGCCGCCGACCCTCCGGCCGACGCCGGGCCGGCGCTGGTGACAGCCGGCGGCGCCACGTCGCCCTGGACGGTGAAGGAGGCTGGGCAGAATTCGCCGTCGCTGCACAGCGATGGCAGCCACAGCAGCCACGGCAGCCACAGTAGCCACGGCAGCGTCGGCTGCACGAGTCCCTGGCTGGTGACGGACAAGGTGAGGGACTGCGACCCCTGATGTGTCGGTGCTGGTGTACCCGGCCTGTTCGAGCTGGCAGCGCCCCTATAAGCGCGTGCGCGTCGGTACTGGTGTACCCGGCCTGTCCGAGCTGGCAGCGCCCCTATAAGCGCGTGCGCGTCGGTACTGGTGTCTCCCGGCCTGTTCTGGCTGGCAGCGTCCCTTGTAAGTGCGTGCATGTCGGTACTGGTGTGTCCCGGCCTGTCCGAGCTGGCAGCGTGCCTGTAAGTGCGTGCGCGTCGGTACTGGTGTACCCGGCCTGTCCTGGCTGGCAGCGTCCCTATAAGTGCGTGCGCGTCGGTACTGGTGTGTCCCGGCCTGTCCTGGCTGGCGGTGTCCCTGTGTCCGTGCCTGAGCTGTCCGTGACGTCCATGTTCATGCCCGCGCCTTGTCGCCGCTGACGCGCGCCGCCGCGCCGACAGGAGGGCGGCGCCGCGACGACGCCTCGCGCCGAGCCCGGCCGCGGCTGGCGGGTGACGCCGCTGCCGGCCCGCTCACCGCAGAGCGACTCCGCCGACTCTCGGCCGCCGCCGGCCCATCCGCAGCCGCCGCTCAGACGGTGAGCAGCGCGCGGGACGGGACGGGACGGGACGGGACGGGACGGGACGGGACGGGGACGGGGACGGGGACGGGGACGGGGACGGGGACGGGGACGGGGACGGGGACGGGGACGGGGACGGGGACGGGGACGGGTCGGGACGGGGACGGGACGGGACGGGACGGGAGTGGCCCTCTCAAGCGCACTGTGCTGCACGTCAGCTCAGCTGACCGGCCGCCCAGCTCGGCACCGCCAGCCACAACCGGATCGTGTATCGAATCGTGGCAGACTTATTTGGCGTGCGCACCCTACAAGTGACGTCAGGCGGGAGGCAGCCGGCAGGACCTCGTGTCGTGTAGACTCAGACAGCGTGCCCGGTGTGTCTGTCGGTGAGTCCCGGCCGGCCGGGGCTCGTCGCCAGCGGGACTGCTCCGTTTCATTTTCTTGGGTCAGCCCTGCTGACCCCAGCCCCCACCTCCTGAGCTTTGTCTCGCCCCTCCCCCCCCCCCCCTCCCCTTAAGTCCTGTTCACCCCGTTGGTCGGAGGTGAACTGCGCTAGGCTCTCTGATCTGCTGACCTCAGCTGACCCCCCACTGATCCCAGCTGACCCCCACTGACCCGGCCGTCCCCAGTGCTGGCAGTGTTGACTCGCCGGACGGGCCGCGCCGGCTGCTCGGCAAGCTGTCCCGCAAGCTGAAGGGCCTGACGCGGCCCGAGAAGCGGCCGCAGGGCGAGCAGCAGGAGCGGCCGGCCAAGCGGCGGCGCCCGGTGGAGCCGTCCCCGGCCCCGGCCCCGGCCCCGGCCTCAGCCCCGGCCCCGGCCAGCACACAGGGGCGCGTGGTGGGCAACAGCGTCTTCTTCGACACGGCGCGGCAGCCGACCGACGGGTAAGCGACGTCGGAGGAAGCCGCGCACCTGCTGCGCGGAGGGGCGCGCTCCGGGGGGGGGGGGGGGGGGTCGATGGCTCTGCGGTCGGCAGTCGCCGCCGGTGCAGAGCCGGCGGGTCCCGGCGGAACAAAGCTGCCATTTTGAACGGCAGACTTTCGCCATTCAAGCAAAGGCCAGAACAAACTGGGAGTGTTGCGCTTTAAACAACAAAGCGAAACAATGGTCTTCTTTGCCCGAAGGTCATTTTCGTTCCGCACTGATGTACCACTTCACTAGGTTGAGTTTACGTGATGGCTTCACGACCATCCTAACGTCGCCACGTTTTTTTTTTAACTTATCAGGTGAATTCGATTCGTGAGTGAGTTTACAGGAGCTTTATTTGTGAGTTTGCAAGAACTAGTAGTAAGCTGTCATAAGGCGCCTTTCCAGCCGGTAGGAAGGAAAACTCGGGCTCATCTTGAACACAGTCTGCTGTCTTAAGTTTTTAATCCATCGACTTCGAAGTGCTGCAAGACTATTGAGGGATGACGATTTTGCGTCCTGTGAAACCGACTGAGACACCATGCACGTCATTTAGGTGTTTGCAGATTGAGAATTTGACACGCTACACTTTGCTTTCCTGGCATTGAACAGGGCTTAATGTCGTGACCTTAACGTGGCCTGTCATTTCGCCACGCATCGCCTCACGCATCAGTAGCGCCTGCGATGTCGCTGTCGTCTACTCACTGAGCTGTCTGAAATCCACCCCACCATGATCTGGACTAGTTTCCACGAAGCCACGGAATCAGCCCCGGACTGTGCT